CCGGGGGTTTCGTCATCCTGCTGCTGTTTCACAAGAGCGAGGTGGCGGTGTGACCCGCGTGAGTCTTGTGCCCTGGCACTGCAGTCACAGCCACTGGCATCTGCATCTCCGTGCCCAGCCGGGCTGCCCAGCCGGCGCCGAGGGGAGGGTTTTGATACACACACACCGCCCTGGTGTGGATGCAGAGAGCTCTTACTGTTTGTTTCTCTGATTAAAATGCTTTGTGCTGATGAGCGTGTTGCATCTTGATAAAAGTCTGAAGTATAGAAGAGGCCTAAAATGTAACTGTGTTACTTACACTCTTGTTACCTCCTTTACACAAGAATGTAAAGACTAATAAAATCTCATATAGACATATCCAAGAAAAGTATTTTTTCTATATAAGTGTAAAATACACATAATTCTCAAGTCTGAGAACTGTAGTCTTTATATCCCAGGCTGGCATGTATGTTTACATATCTTTTCTCCTGATGAGTGTCTCACCCAGCTGGCCAGTGGTTGTTCCTGGTGGTTTTCCTTAGGAGGGGAAAAAGTTCTAATCCATTCATGAGCCTGTTTCAGAGTTGCATTGTACATACTGAAGGTTTACCTGCAAGTTAGATTGGGCTAATTAGATTGGCAGATTTCTGGCAGAAAGGAAAAAGTATTAATGGCTGAATTTGTTTTGCTCTGGTTTTTTCTTTACATATTTTTTTTAATTAATTGAGGCTTAAATTATAATGGATCATTGACTTCTATGTGGTGCTTGCCAGTGTAAGAACTTCAGATGCGTTTGAAAGCTTTCGGGGATTGTGAGCAATGTGTTGCATATGGTACTGAAAGGTAGGAAGATTATGTCTGTAGAGAGCCTACCTTAACATTTCTTTAAAGTAAAAGTATGAGAGGGTTTTTTTGTTTTATTTTTGTTTGGTTTTAACTTCGTTTTTGTTTAATTTCAGGAAAAGCTCAGGCAGAAGGTGGATCAGCTCGGACATCGCTTCTTATTTTAGTGTCTATCTTCTTATCAGCTGCTTTCCTTATGTTCCTGGTGTATAAAAATTTCCCACAACTTAGTGAGTAAGTATGTCAGGAAAGATTAATTTATTTGCTTCTCATTCTACAAATTGTAGAGGAGCCTACATGGGATTAAGTGATTTTTAAACTGATGAGTTAATTATAGATATAACTGTGTTTGGTTGTTTTGTTTTTCTTTTAAAGGTAATTTGAGTGTGTATCCTAGAATGTCAGGATACAAAGCTCAATATTAAAATACCAATTGGTAGGATCTGTGTACAGAGTTGTACTTGACCTAGGGTTTCTGTCTGACAGTTGAGTTACTGTGTTTTGAAAAGATACCTCCTGCCGCATTAGTAATGGTAACTCACTATGTTCTTAACCTTCTTTACTTGAGGGCCAAAACATGCTTGGTTAGGGCTAGGTTTATTTTAAAATTCCTTGTGCACTGGTGTAATTGCAGGCTCTCATCAAAAGTGGACATTCTTAGCTAAGCTTCACATTCTCTTTTTTGCCTTTTTGTTGCATCTAGTACTGGTGTTAGGAAGGTAGATAGTTTGGCAAGATGGAAGCCTGCTTTTCTGACAATTTTCTTTTTTTCTTTTAGTAGTTAATTTTCTGTCTGATAACTTGCTCAACAAGTTCAGTTTGCAACAGTCCAATCACTAAGTCTGATACAGAGGAAGAGAGGACACTCAACTGTGCTGCCCAGGGTTGCACCAGATTAAGGTGTGACATGAGATTTTGCTCTTAAAGCTTTGTTTGTTTGTGAGGTAAAGCTCTGCTCTTGCTGCACTTCAAATGTTATGACTCTAGTATCGAGGCAGTTACGGTTGGTTTTGGCTGAAATGTTGACTGCTGTTCAGATGCCAAGGTTTGGTTTGAGTTGTTATTTTTTGTCAGTACTTGGTAAGAAAACCCAAAACCCTAGAAGTGAGGCTTATTCTTGTAATTAATAAAACCCCCATGGTTTTCAATTATCAAAAATAGAAGATTTTGTAATACAAAACACACTGTAAATATTAAATGTTCATTTGAGAATATTATCACAATAATAATGTGGTTTGTTTGCTGAGGTTGTAGTTTGGTGGTGTAGTGTGTCTGATTATGCATTCAGTAAGTAATGTCACTGTGCTGTTGGATTATTTTTAAAACCATTCCTGCTTTTGTTTTTATTTTTTTTAACAGAGAAGAAAGAGGATATATAAAGGTTCCTAGAGATATGGATGATGCAAAGGCCTTGGGAAAAGTCCTGTCCAAATATAAGGACACATTTTATGTTCAAGTATTAGTGGCTTATTTTGCAACATATGTTTTGTATCCTTTTTTTCTGATATAAATGGTGGGTTTGATATAGTCATATTTATCTGAAAAAGAAATGAAACATACAAACTTAAATTCTTGGTCATGGGTGAAGAAGCTTAACATACCTGGATGTGTTTGTAAATAGACACAGATACTCCAAAATCTTTGAACTTCAAACCATTTCCTACCTGTTTCAGTATGCTTTTTGGACTGTAAAAAGGGATTGAGTGGAAGGAAATAGCTGTCTGCATCTATAGCAGTAAATGCTGTTGGGGATCTGCATGCAGCTTCACCTTGACTGTGCCTACTGTGGACGCATTAGTAACTTTGATATTAGACTTGGTCTCATTTTAGTGTGATGCTGACTTCTTAAATTGCAAACTGAATTGCCAGTTATAGATTACTCTTGATTCTAAAGGAAAACTAAGACGACTACACTCCTCTTCCTTGAGACATTAAAAAGTGCCATATAAGGGTCATTTACAGAATATTGTACAACATTTCTCAAGGAAAGTATTTTGAGGGTTCTTTCATCTCTGCAGTGCCCACCTTGAAAAAACAAACCTGTTTCTTTCTATGGGGTACTAAATTCTGAAGTACTTTCTGCCTAGGGAGACACAAAGCCTACCTGTGTTTTCTGTTAACTTCTTTTTTCCTGAGTGCTGAATATTAATTAATCATTAAGCCAGCTCTTAACAGGGACACTTAACTAAAGGTTAATAACTTCTAAAATATATGTAAGAGGTCTGTTTCGTAGTTTAACTCAGGAGGCTTTTGTAACTCGAAGAAAAATCACTGAATGTGCCACGAGTAATTATCCACTAGCTTGTTCTTTTTAAGTGTAGTTCACAAATAATAGATTTATGGAGAAAATGAAAATGTTAATTTATTAACAAGAGGTAGAACAGAATTGGCTGTTTATTGAACTGCTGTACCAGCTGATATGACAACATTTATTGTCTCAGCAGTAGACTGTGACCAGTTGACAAGCATGTTGCAGTCATCTCAGAACCTTGACACTTGTTTCAAAAAAGCTGTACTGGTATAATGGACTTCATATAATGGAAGATTATTAAACCAGATAAAATAGTATGCAAATTTTTTTGCTTTATAAGATTTGTATCCAAAGTGAGCAATATATCCTAGTTTCAAGTATGTCTAGCAAGACTTAAGCTCAACATTCTGTTTGCTTATGCAAAATTTCATTTTTGGCTTTCTGAAAAATTCTGACTAAAGTTAGTGATCATGTATCCTATTTATCCAGCAATTGCACCATACTATTTGTAAGGAAGTAGTAGTTGCCTTCACACTTGTCTTGCGTGAAACTTGAGTAGTTCTGTGCTCAGACAGGAGGTCTGTGAACTTTTCAGAGCAAATGGCTGAAATCTGCCTATCTCTAGTCAGCAATATAAAATCAGAAGTATGTTTTACAGACTTGTTGTTGTTTGTGTAATTATGAATCTACCCATTGTTTCTCTCTGCTTGACCTTCTTGTGGTACTCTGCAAGTGTATTTTGAAGTAAAGATCTTTAGAGACTATGCTTATTTGTATTTATTCTTTTCCAAATTGTAGTGTGTATCCTGACTGTTCATAAAACTAAGAATTGGATATGTTTTTAATTTTTCCTTTTTTTTTTTTCCTTAACTAAGATGCATTCAGCTTGCAAACATTTGCTATTCCTGGGTCTATATTTCTCAGTATCCTGTCAGGTTTTCTTTATCCCTTTCCCCTGGCCTTATTTCTTGTTTGTCTGGTAAGTATGGATAATAGTTTGTAAGGACATGTATTTCTATCAATTTGGAATACAGCCAAGTATCTAATCTCTTCCTATTTGAAATGGTTGGAGTCTGAGTGAAATAGGGGTGTGAATAGATTCTTGTTCAGCCTTCTTTTGAGAATGGCATTACCCACAAAATCACTGTAGGGTTAGGTGGTGATCCAAAAGACTAAACTGTTTCTCCAGGTTTTCTTAATAATGGAGGCAGCTGGGTATGGATCAGCCAGGATTTCCTTTACTTCAAATTTTAGTGTCCACTAGAACCTGATGATAATTTCAGAACACCATTACTACATTTTTATTATTGTACTGCAAAACACATACGGTTTCAAGTGGCTTAAATACCCAAGACGCTTAATTTAAGATATGTAGTGTTATTGACAAGCTTCAAGTAATGTCATGTACAAAAGATGCAGCCTCAGTACTTACAAATGAGATAATTGAGTAGATATGGAGGACCAAATTGATGAATTTTCAAGTTTGAATCTCTTTAGTGCCATTGTGCCCTGTATTTGCAAAGCTTTCACTGTTCAAAATGCTAAAATAAAAACTGCAGAAGCGCTCAGTATTCACTGATAAGTAATCAATGTTGTCTACTTTAAATGTTGAGTCAACAACATTCTTGGGGAGTGTGTACATGCTGCTGGATGATAGTCCTTTGTCCTCAATGAAGGATTGCATGGAAGCAGGCTCTGTCTAGCTTGTGTAGTTAACAGGGATATAAGGCTAAAATTAATTAGAGTTTCTTCTCATTTATGTTTTGGTTTGTTTTTTTTTTTTTAGTGCTCAGGACTTGGAGCCTCATTCTGCTATATGCTTTCATACCTAGTGGGACGTCCTGTTGTATACAGATACTTAACAGAAAAAGCAGTAAAATGGTCAGAACAGGTAAAGTTTCTAGCAATGCTGAAATTTGATAGAAATGTATATTGTACATGGAAAACTAGGCTCTTGTGCTTGTGTATCTAGTTACAAATAAAGGATTCTGGGATTCTGACTCTGTGTAGTTACTCTTTGACACTGTGTAGTTACTTTCTCTGGGTGTTTATAAACAGTGGGAAGCATTCCTGATTTTATGGTATTTCCTATGAGGAAGTTGTTTTTACTGCAGAAGTTTGCACCTGATAACCTCCCTGGTTTAGCTAATGTCAATAGAAAACCTCTCCAGCTTCAATTTAAAGTGATAGCTCTCCAAGCATCAGACCTAATGAAAGCTGGGCTTGTGTTTTATATTGTGTTCTGCTTAAGTTGACTGGTTCGGACAAATCATCATGCTCTACCACAGACTGGTATTTCCAGACTAACTTCAGTACTATTTAACAAGTGATTCACTGATGACTCTTCACTGAGTCACTTACAAGTTGCAAGCATAAAAATCAGTTAAACAGTAAATTTCTACAAAAGATGTACAAAAACCCTCTAGTAGTAAAATAATTGTGTATTTTCAAGGCAGGAACTTTCTTAGATTTGTTCTTGTTTTGGCAGGTTGAACGACACAGAGAACACCTTATTAACTACATCATATTTTTGAGAATAACACCTTTTCTTCCCAACTGGTTTATCAATATAACATCTCCCGTAATTAATGTGCCACTGAAGGTATTTTTCATCGGCACTTTTCTAGGTAAGAATTCTTGTTAGTGAATTGCAGTTCGGGTGTAGCTATGAGATATCCTGTGCTCTTCTTGTATGTGTTGTTCAGCAGAGATCACCACCTGCTGGGCAGTTGGGAGATTACACAATAATATTATTTTGGTACTTTTCAATGTGGAGTTTATAGCTTCAAAAGATTTAGCAGTCAGGACTATTCTGATGTGCTGAATCAGAAGTAATGAGCCCATGCTAGTTATTTGCTTAACCAAAGGTATGTTGTATGAACACTTTATTAGTAACTTTTTGTTCAACTCCATGACTATAATAGTTCTGTGAACTTCTCCTATGTTGGCTCAGCATAATTGTATGAGGACGTATGTGACTTTGAACTGAAGGATTGTTTTTCCCCTTCTCACTCCATTTGGTTTGTCATAACATATCTACCTAGGAGTGAGTTAGTAATTTAACTAATTTAGCACTAAACCCTAGTTTTGTAATTGGCATTTCTTTGCAAATACTTTTAAATCTGGTTAGGAAACAATTCACATTTTTTCACGATGAACGTAAATAAAATCCGTTTGTAGAGCGAACTTGAAACGGGAGTCTAGAGAGCAGAGATTATTTTCTTAGTCTTCTGCTTGAGTTGGTGTTAAAAATACGAATAATGGCCTAAAACCAGTTCTTTTGATAAGATTTTTGTCTTTGAATTTCGTATGCACACCACTCTTAAAAGTACAAGGCAACAAAGTGATTTTTTTTGGTGTTGAAAGTTAGATTATTAATTTATGATATTTTTCTGTCCTTTTGCTCTAACACGCTGTTTTTCCTTCCTTTGCCCCTCCTACCCTTTTAAATCTCTGCCCCAGGTGTGGCGCCACCGTCTTTTGTAGCCATTAAGGCAGGAACAACGCTGTACCAACTTACAACAGCAGGGGAAGCTGTTTCCTGGAACTCTGTTTTTGTCCTCATGATTCTAGCCATCCTGTCCATCCTACCGGCTGTCTTCCAGAAGAAACTGAAACAGAAGTTTGAATAAGGATCAGACTGGACCAAATTTTCCCATACTTCATCTCAGGATCAGCACTTCTGATATTTGTATATTTGCTTTTCTATTGGATCTTAAGCAATTAAAGAGGGGGCTTATAATTGATAAGAATGTCTTTAAATGAACATGTGGCCTAAAATTGAAGACTGTGTTCAGAAATGTACTGCATATAGTTTTGTAACCAAACCATCAGTGTTTTACTCTGGGAGTGGGTGTGTGGCCCTCGGGATGAGGGAAATGAAAACAGTTGTAACATTTTTCTCTGGTTATATACAGAGCAAAAATTGCAATGTGGGCATAAACTACAGATACTGCTTTCTAAAAGTTGCAGGAAAAAAAGCCCTTAATCATTCAGTCCGATTTTGTAACATTCTCTCTAAGCTTGTATGTGATCTGGTTTAAGTACATTTCTCATCAACAATATTTCTCTTTTTTTTTTTTTTTTTTGCCTTTGGGAGTTCCAAAATAATAGCATAATTAATAACGGTGCTCACTCAGAAACAAAGTTTTTTTGCAGTACTTTAACTACAATTATAGTCTCATTCTAATTGTTTACTTCTATTTATTAGTGCTGTGTGAATTTAAATACTTGAACTTATATTTGCTTTACTAACTGGATTAACAAAGGCAAAGTGTCACATCATTCCCTATAAATCCTCTGTAAAGTTTTATCCTGGGAGAGGATATAGGAAGGTAGAGAGCAAGTTAGAATTTTTATCATGGCTGGCTAATAATTTTGAAATTCTAATTTTAATTTTTAAATGTTGATTACTTTGCTGATATTTCAGTTTCATAGATTTATCCTGCCAATTTAAGGAAATGATTGTATGATTGTCTAAAATTTTCAGTTCTCAAGTGACTTAAAATGTTTAATTTTAAGCAGTGTAATATTACCTATTCTCAAGCAATATGTAAAGAGTATAAAATCTTCCATTGCAACTCAATTAGCTAGGAGAAATGTCAGGTACACAAACCAGTGCAGTTCTTACTAAAGAGCTGATTCCAAATAATGTTCAAAGCATCATGTAACAGAAGGCTCTGCTGTCAGTGTATATAAAATCGAAGACTATTCCATGATCTGGAAAGTCAGTAACTGGCAATGGGCAACTAGCTATGAGCCATCTTTAAGCAGAAGTATGTATGTTCACGAAGGTATATGATACCTCCCCTTGTATGCTTTTAACTGTTGTAGTTTGTTGTATTGTCAGTGGAATCCCATAAAATGAGGCTCTGATCAGCAAGAAACTGGGGTGCATATTTAAGTTTTATCCTACTGAAACCAGTGCTGCTTATGTGCTTTTTTTTAATTTGATGCCCCTGAAGTATCTTGCTGAAACAGGAGTTGGGTCATTAGCATATTCTCCAATTCAAGGCTTTGTCTGCATCCTTATGTTAACTCATCATACAACAGATCATTTGAGATGTAAGACAACAGTTCCATAAATGTGATAATGTAAAAGGTACCTTTAAAGAATTTCGTTTATTTTGTAACATAATGTTAATTGACTGCTTCATTTCATTACAGTATTACATGTAAATATATAGTAAATATTGATACAATATTTGCCTTTTATTTAAATCTGGCTGCACAGTAAATGGTATTTTTACATAGGTAGATAAAGGAATTAATATCACATCTGTTTGCAAATTTATTGTAAAATCATTTAGCTTCAGCAATTGTTTTGTTATTTAGAATTTAAAAGTGTAGTTTATTGACATTTTAAACTGAACAGTGATTCCTTTTATTGCTGCAGTTCTAATCTCAGAGGTCATCTACCCAGGGGATTTATTTCATAGCAAACCTGAGTGTGAATCTTGCTGTTGTGAGCAGGTGTCCCCTGGACTGTTGAGTGTGAAGTTACTGTAGATTTACAGCCTACTTTTCTCCGTAGTTAGTTTTTCATGCAGATGAACTCTCAGAATAAATTACTACTTACTGTCCAGTGGCTTCTCTCAAAAGTTGTCACAATTTTTGGTCAATAACAGATGTTTTTGTGAAATCCTTTCTGTTCTGTATAAAGCTAAGGTTTGTTGGAGTCTTGACACTAAAGAAGGAACTGAACTGTGTTTCAGTTCAACATGAATCATAATATCACTTGATGTTTTCACCAAGTTGTTTTTCACTGTGTAGATGGGATCTGGGCATGTTACTGTTGCATCTCAGCCATAGTCTGGGTTCCCATTACAGTGGCTAAAAGCCTTAAGACCTTAAAAAGGTTGAAAATAAGGTTTTTCTGCAAAACTTCAGCGTTTTTTTAACTTGTCCCTTCTGTTTATTTTCAGTTGCCAGGGGCCTCAGGCAGTTTCCCACCCTATGAGGACTACTTCTGAGGGATGTGAAGAGTAAGGAAGGCCTTGTGAAAAAGGCAAAAGAGCACTGTGCTGTGGAATACTGTACTAGTCTATTCTTTATGGTATCCAGCAAGTGATCCAAGAGAGAGCCATAACATTTTAATAGGAAAACAGTGGCTACCATGAAGCAAACTGGGAAAATGGGAAGATGTAGCTTTGTTTTTTAATTGCAAGGAATTTTGAGCTGTTAGGTGACCTATTTATCTTTTAAAATTTTTGATACCTGCATGACATCACTACTAAATGTCTCTTGCCATTTGATAATAAAGCTATTATTTAAAACATTAAACATTGTATTTTGAGTACAATGAAGCAGGTTGATCTTCCCACTTAGCTTAATTTTATTAACCTTTTTAAAAGAGATGAGTTATTCTTAAATGGTATTTTTAATGACTAATTAAAAATTTAACTGAGCTGATTATATCTGTAGATGAGGTTCATATTTCTACCTGATTTCAGAACATAGGTAAACCTGACTTCCTTTTCTGTCTGAAATTAATTTCTCACATACAACAATGATTTTGAAAAGCTTTTATATTTTGCAGTGGAAGGCAATTAGGTCTACATTGTTTTATCTCCTCAAATAGATCCATTTGCATAATTTGATCTTCTTTTTTGCATGAATTCCTGATGGAAGACTCATGTGCAAATATTATGGCTTCCTCCACCTTCTTTTCATGTTCTGTAATGTCCAGTTTATGGAATTTTTTTTAAATGGAAAACTAGTGCTGAAAGGTCAAGACAAAAATGACAAGCCTTTCTTTAGAATGTTAGTGAACTACACTATTATGTGAAGTCAGAACATGGATATTGTTGTTAGGTAACTTTGAATGTTTTGGTGTTTTGTTCCTGAGAATATTAATTATGTGTAGTTTCTGTGATAACCTAGTTTTATGATAGTAACTTAAATGCAGAGTGGATTACTCTGGTGTGCATTAGAAGTGAAGTATGATTCCTGCCTTATTCTGTGCAGTTTGCTCTGGATTAATCTGAACAGCCAGGAGAACTGACTCAACCAGGTAGCTGATGGAGGACTGAAACATCAGCTACTGCAGGTACATTTTTACAAACGTGAGAGCCAAAAGAGAAGCCTTTGAAAGCTGCTGCTAGAGGAATGGAAGCCATACCTCTAATGTTTTGCACTAGAGATACATTGAAAAGGAACAAATGAGGAAATGCATTTCTGCCTGTTTCTTAGTCACTTAGTCATTTTCTTTCTTTCATTTTATTTTCTGCCTTCCATTCCTTAGCACCTGCTACAGAGGCAGTGCTAGAAGGGGGAAGTCAGTCTATCCCTCAAAAATATAATGAATTATTTTTCATAATGTGGGACAATCTTTTGCAAGATGACAAAAGAGGGTGATTTTTTTTTTCACCAGAAGGCTGAAAAGAATACAGGCTAAACTATATAAAAATTTTTCTGTCATAAATAGTATGAGGTTTGTGAGCCATATATTTTAGTATGACAGTGCTGAGAGGGAAATGAGAAGTTTTGACAGGAAAGCAGGATCCAGAGTGAGCTTTTCAAATTTCTCTCAAAGAGAAGATAGTTATTCTGATTATTTTTAGAAGCAATTGGTGTCTTGCAATGACACACATACCTAACTGTCAGCTGGTGGCTTTATAGGTTCATGTCACCCAAACTGAGAAGTTACAGCCTTATACTGATTGCCAATATCAAGAGCATAATATGTTTACTAACATATCATAACTCTACTTCCTGTACTTAAAAATAGTCTACTTAGTGCAGTAATTCCTATTTCATTGTTTTATAGTACAAAAGGAAGAATCTGGGTCTGGATTATGAGAACTAAGATCATTGACTGGTGTATAACTACTCAAGAGGCATTACAAAAGCCTGATACCTTCATGGCCTTAAAATTGATTAGGCTCTGGAGAGGAGTGGGAGTGTCACAGTGGGAAATAGCTTTTAAGATTCTGCTTCAGAATTAAGACCTAATGTTATGATCATAACTCCTGATTTTTCTTTCACAGCCTAGCCCTTGAGCAACTGTATCAGATAATCTGAAATTCTCAATTTTTATTGTACTTGGAACTGAGTTCCATGCCATGAAAAAGTGCTTTTCAAGCAGGTAACTAAATCATTTTTATGTTTGACTGTTTGTTGAAATGATTTCTCACAGGGAGTATCCCCAAGGCAGGGGTTGGAAGAGAGCAGGGCAGGCTGGGGGCAGCCTCAACCAAGAGGCTCATGTATCAAGCAAGTCTGCAGTGATGATGGGACTTGTCCTGAATTATATCCTCTAATACCCTCTGATTCTCCTTCAGTGTTAAGGGAGATGCTAAATGCTTAGTCTGAATACTGTAAGTAGATACAGGAAATTAGCCCCATTTGTGGGTCTAGTGTCTAAACAAGAACACTAGGCCAGACAGCCACCAGTCTTCATACCAGACTTCAGACTTGATATAGTTAAAGGCCACACATTGATTAATATTGTGCAGTTTTGTGACAGCCTTTTTATCCTGTGTTTGCCTTGGTCTTGATGTCAGTGATGAAAACCAGAGTATTTTCTTTCTCCATGGTTGATTCTGTGGTGAAAGGGAACCTCTTACTGATGGTTCAACTTTGTTCTTGTGGGGTGCAAGATGGGCTGCTCTTGCAGGGGGGTTTCTGGGCTGCTTTTGCAGCCACTGGGTTGAGTCTTGGGCCTACAAGTGTGAAATGTGCAGACCTTCTTGAAACTGTTTTCAAGAGGCCTTGGCTGCCTTTGCCTCTACTTTGGAGGACTTGGCTTCCTTAGACTGGGGCACCATCCTTAACAAGTGAAAGGAGTGGAAACAAACCACTGGTCTGGTTTGTTTCCACTCCTTTCACTTGTTAACTTTCACATACTGGCCTTCTGCTCTCATCTTGAATGTTGACAAACTTGGACCTCACTGACAAGAAGCCTGGTACCAGTGCCTGTCTGAGGCTCTGGGAGCCTAGTAGTAGATATACCTGCACAATGGATCTGTGACCTGCTGACAAGCTGCACCACCAGCTGTGGGCTCCTGGAGATGGGGAGAAGAGGGAGCAGGGGAGCTTAAGAAAGGTTCAGCAGCTTGACATGACAGTTCTCTGATCTGTGTCCTGTGGTAGGAGGGCATGTGTGTAGGAGAGCTGATGTGTGGGATGCACTCCAGAAGTCCATTGCCTGGATATTGCTTTCACCAGAC